TTTTAGTAGATAAGAGTATTGAAGCAACTAATTGATTTGCTTCAAACCAAACACACATGAATCAATTTGAGACCCATTTATGCCTAAAAATGTTCAGTAATTTTTGCATTATATACTCTGGCAACAATAGCGGCAGGCAGTCTAGAGAAATTGTTAAAAAGGCAATACGGGACCCTTGCTTTGGAGAAAATGGATCACCGATGTTTTCCGTTGATGAAGAGGGAAGAGCAATTTGCTTGTTCGGACTTAAGGAAAGCTTAGACTATCAGTGTGATATTGGCCTGATGGAGGCAAATTACGGTGAATTTGACTATTATGGTGGAGATATCTTTGCTTTAAGGGTCACTTTTGTCGATGACTGGATGCGGGACTATATTAAACTCAGAAGTGATGAGGTTTGATTATGAAACAAGAATAAAATGTTCCATGAGCTTCTTTTAGAAACTAACGATAGTCCAGAGTATTTAATTATTTAATATAACCAAATTAATTTCATCATTAGAGTTGTTGACAATGTTTCTGAAGATAAAAATCACTTGGTGATATCAAATATTTAGATACTCTGTAAGGAAGAAAGGTCGAATGCCACTGGTATAGTTAAGAATTGCCGAACAAAAATAAAAAGCATAAAACAGAAAGAACTAGAAAGCACGTCTCCGTTGATTAATCAGCTCGCAAAAAAATAGTTGTTGTTCTGATCAAGCTATTCAAGCCTTGAAACCTTTAAGATCTAGGTTTAGCCATATGAGAAATCAATTTGATAATTTTCATAGACCAAATAGGGTCGCAGAAAGTTTCAGTTTTCCCAACTCAAGCTACGAAACTTCAAAACAATTCAAGTTATTTCGTCAATCAAATCGGATGGCACAAATCTAAAAAATTTCTAAGTAAGCTTCTCCAGATATGAAACTTTGAGATACTTTAAGTTATTTCAAGGAGCGAATCAGGTACCAACCAATTTAAACGTTTTTTGAAGCCATTTAGGCGATGAAATTTCAGGTATTTCAAGTTAATTTACCAACCGAATCAGTTTGCAATAAAATCAAGACTTTGTAGCAAGCTTTTCAAGCTATGAGTATATAGAAAATTTCTAATAATTTCATGAAACGAACCGGATGGAGAGAGGTCAAAAATTTTCTGAGCACGCTAGTCCAGCTAAGAAACTTTTCTTCGAGAAATACTTGTTCCTTCTTTGACAAAATCTTCTTTTTTTGTCAAAAATTTTTTTCAATTGAAGCCCTTCAAGCTATGAATTTTTGAAACATTTCAAATTATTTCGTGAAGTTCATCGCATGGCAAGAAGTGCAGTTTATCTAAGCAAATCTGCTATGAAGATTTGAAAGATTGCAAGTAATATCATGAAGCGAGTCGATGAGGAAAAGTGTAAAACTTTCTGAGCGAGCTATTCCAACAATGAAGTTTTGAAACATTTCAAAACATTTCAAGCTATTGCTTGAAACGAATCAGTGTGCCAAAAAGTTTAAGTTTGGCTATGAAAGCTATTCAAGTTATGAAACTCTGAAATATTCATTGCGAGTTGATGAAGAGAATCGGATGGCAACAAAATTAGCTTTTTTTGAAGCTTCTCAAACTTCAAATAATCCAAATTATTTTGTGGACCCAAAATTTTTTTGCAAACTATGAAAATTTTGTGTGGCAAGCTTATCAAGCTAGAAATTTTACATTTTTCATGCAATCTGATGAAGCGAATCGGATGGCCAAAATGTTAGTTATTCTTTTGAAACCATTCAAGCAATGAGACTTTGAAAAATTTAAGTCATGTCTTAGAACGAATCGTTTCGCGATAAGTTTATGTTTTTCTAGGGAAAGCAATTCAAGTTATTCAAATTTCAAAAATTTCAAATTTATTTTAGGACCAAGTGTTTCGAAGCAAGATAGTCTAGGTAAGTTTTTTCATGAATCAAATTAGATGGCAAAAACTATAGGTTTTGAAAAAGTTTAATATTGAAACTATATGCAGGTCTGATCTACGTTCATAGTTTTTTAAAAAGTCTTAATCTGGAACTTTTGGTTAAATCATAGGATGAAATATCGCTTAGGACGGTCTTTGAAACTTAATATGGGCTGACTTGGAATAACTACTTTTGGACTGACTTGGAACCTTGATTTGAACGCTAACCTGATATCTAATATTCTGCGCCTCTTTGTACAATTTCAAGTTAGGATATTTTGGAAACAATTTGACTTAATGTAAATTATTTTGTGGGTTCGAATTTCGGCTAGAGTCGTAACATAAGACCTATCCTTCAACTTTTTTTAAATTTAAGTTCGACAAAAATTATTCTTTTTATTGTATAGCAAATATTTGTTAATTAAATTTCGAGATTCTATTAATTTTCAGTTATTCAACCTGGTTTAAATTAAAATTCCAGTTTTTCTAAATTCTATCATGAGTTGGATAGATATTAATTTAAATTATGGAAAACTAAGCTGATTTTTTGAAAACTTATTTTAAAAAGGCAACTAGCTTTCGAAGTAAGCATAGGTGCCTGAAATTCGATTTTTTTATTACCTATTTTTCTATCTTTTTTGATAGGACCTTTTTGCATCTAGAATCATGATGTTTTGGGTCTATGTTTATGAGCGAATGTCTAATTTTTTGCTGCTGCTCAAAAACGTTTTTTGTAAGCAAAAAGCTTGATAACATTCAACATTGGTTTTCAACATGATTCTTTCTTGTGGCCGTTTTTGCCGTTTTTTGAATTTCTACAAAACAGACAATATGAGGTTTTATAATGTTGGTTTGAATTGTAAATAGAACCTCCTATTGTTCCGATTTTCAATACGAAAGTAACGGAATACTTGTGCTCGGGGTGGGTTTTTTTTCTCCAGACAAATTTCGACTTTTTAACTAGCCATTTTTGTATCATTTAAAGGATTTTTTATATCATTTAAAAGGTATTGTTGTCTTGAGCTCAAATTTGAAAAGATATTTGACCTGTAATCATTTTTCGTAAAGTTATGGGGGTTTAAGGATTGCCATTTTGGCCAATTTGGGACAATTAACGCGCGATATATTTCGCGCTAATAACGCGTAAGCGGAGAGTTAATCCGTCTTAGAAAACGTTCCAAAAGCTTATTTGCCATAATTTATTTGTTACAAGGAGCGAAATCTATCCTTTTGTACTTTATATGGCGTGTGGGGGGCGGGGTGATAAAAAATTTCAAATTTTGGAAAAAAAAAGTTCTTTATTTTGTTTTATTACATTTAACTTTTAATGTTTTTACTGCCCCATAATCCCTAAAAGGGAGTCGAAACACTCAGGGCTCCCTGATACGAGCAGTCTTGTTCAACTTTAGGTTTGAACTTCAACTTCTTCAAAGGCTGTCCTGACTTCGAGCCTTTGGTTTGAATATTGAATTGATATATTTCCACTGTTTTTTCCTAATTTTTAATTCTACAGATTCTGATGGATTTTAATTTCTGATGGCTCGGAGTTGGGAATTGTGTCACAGTTTGTTACCTCTTTTTGAAGAACATTTTTAACAAAAGCTGCCTTGACTTAGAACTTGTTTGGTCCTCCTGGTCTTTTGACGGAGGAGTGGGAATGGGAGGTTGTATGTTAAGTTGATCCAGTTTTCCAATTTTTTTCTTTTAAGTTGGTAGAACAAACTTATTGTTCCGACTTTCGATACGAAAGTAACGGAATATTTGTGCTCGGGGTGGGTTTTTTTTCTTCAGACAAATTTCGACTTTTCAGCTAGCCATTTTTGAAGGAATTTTTTTATCATTTAAAAGGTATTGTTAATTTGAAAAAATATTTCACATGCAACCATTTTTCGTAAAGTTATGGGGTTTAAAAATTGCCATTTTTGCCATTTTGGCTATTTTGACCAATTTGGGACAATTTACGCGCGATATAGTTCGCACTATTAACGCGTAAGCGGAGATTTAATCCGTCTTATAAATCGTTCCAAATTGGTTGAATGAAGCTTATTTGCCATAAGTGAATTGTTTTAAGGAACGAAATCTATCGTTTGGTACTTTATATGGCGTGTGGGGAGATGATTTTCCTTAAAAAATTTCAAATTTTAGAAGAAAAAAATTTCATTATGTTTTATTTCATTTAATTTTTTTATGTTGTTACTGCTGCTCCATAAACCTTAAAAGGCAGTCGGAACATTCAGGGCTTCGCCCTGATACGAGCAGTCTTGTGTTTTCTTTATAATGTTTACTTTAAAAATGGGAACAGAAGCAATTAGACAAAATTCAGCTAAGAATTTTGTTACAGAGTTTTCAGCAATAGAATATGAATGTGATCTGTAGGATGAGAACAAGAAACGTGTTGACATGAGTCAAGGCTGCATGCAGATTAAATGGAAAACTATCAACTTAAATTATTTCACTTAATAGTGTCTTGTTGTTCCGACTTTTGATACGAAAGTAACGGAATATTTGTGCTCGGTATGGGTTTTTTCTTCTGACAAATTTCGACTTTTTAACTAGCCGTTTTTGACGGAAATTTTTTATATCATTCGAAAGGGATTGTTGTACTGATCTCAAATTCGAAAAGCTATTTCACCTGTGCTTAATTTTCGTAAAGTTATGGGGGTTTAAAGATTGCCATTTTGGCCAATTTGGGACAATTAACGCGCGATATATTTCGCGCTATTAACGCGTAAGCGGAAAATTAATCCGTCTTAGAAATTGTTCCAAATTGGTTGAAAAAATCTTATTTGCCTTAATTCAATAGTTTCAATGAGCGAAATCTATCCTTTTGTACTTTATACGGCGTGTGGGGGATGATTTTCATTAAAAATTTTGCAAATTTTAGAAAAAAAAATTTTCATTTTGTTTCATTTAATTGAGTTTTTTAAGGTTATTACTGCTTCATAAACCTTAAAAGGCAGTCGGAACATGCAGGGCTTCGCTCTGATACGAGCAGTCTTGTTTTATTAGGGAACGAAGCAAACTTAGAGAGATAAAACGCAAAAAGTTAACATAAGAGAAATTTGAAATGATTATTTACAATCTGAGTTAATCCTTAATGGTTCTTTCTAGGTTGAGCCGTTGGTAAAGTTGGTTGCATTATTAGTAGATTGTTGCCTCCGTGTCCAAACTTTGCTTTGAGTAGTCTCGTTGTATAACACTTCCATATTCCGCCTGCTCTGAATCGGATTAATGGGAACGCCACGTCTCGTCTTTTCCCAGATTTCCATCACTACGTCAATTGACTCATAGACCATCGGAGGTATAACTTGGTGCAGAACTTGACAATTAGTTGTCAAAGATGGCTGCACGTTGATTTCAATTAGGTACACTTTCATTTTTTCGTCGATCATAAAATCGAAACCCAGTAAGTCGAAAGTGCCAATTCGAGTTTTCAATCTGGATTTTACAGCATTGAAACAGTGAAGCATGATTCGCTTAGCCTGCTTTTCGAATACTCTGTACCACCAATCTTCTTCAATTCCTTTCGTTTCAATGAAGTATTGGTTCAAATACACATTGGCTCTTTCGTAGCTCCAAATTGTGTCATCTTTTTTCTTTTCGTAACTTGGATGACTTTTTTGGATATATTGATTGTTCAAGTGGCCAATTAAACTGTTGTCGGCAGTTTTCTAGTTTTCCTGACAGCTTTTTTCAAAAAAAAAACTTTTTTTTGTAAGAAAACGTGTTTAATGTGACTTTTTATGTTCTAAACTGCACAAAAACTGATGTGTGAATCAGTGAACAAAATTTTGCTCTAGTTCTGACATGCAAAAATCCATTTAATCAATTTCTATAATATTTCATTTCATTTTTAGGAAAAAGTTGGGGAAAACTGGAAAATGGACCTATTATCGTCTAGTTTATAGTCGTCAATGCAGGTTCGCAGATAACCAGGGTGGTAGAAGACTACGAAAGGCGCAGTCGATGCTATCAACATGTAAGCTCGGATATCAATTTTTTTGTTGTCTAGTAGCAAGGGATGCTCGATGTATCGCTGAATTATTCTTTCATACTTATTACTCGTTTCCCTCTTGGGTGGAGATTTTTTGCTGCTGCAATCCTTCAACTTCGCATCGAGGTCGTCTAAACTTCGAACCAGAAATATCCCGATGCCTTGGTTCAACCCGCTGGGTTTGCGAATCCACGTTTCGCCCGCCTTATACGCTTTCCGGAAAGCAGCATTCTCCGTCTTGTTATTTAGTATAAAAGTTTCGTTGAAAAAATCAGCCAGTTTCAACTCGTTGTTTTTGGAAGAGTTTGGACTTTGCAGAGCTTTTTGTTGCATGCTTTGCTCGTAGGCTCGCAAGCTCTCAACGAGGCCGATTTTACTTGTTAAACATGAGATGTTACTAATGTGATTGACGACTTGTTCATAATCTCGAAACTGGTGGTAGTCAATTTGATCCACACACTGAGTCCATTTGAACTTAAAATCCTGTCTTTTTTCGTCCGTTTTTGTCCATTTCAAATGTTTCTCGAAATGATTCTCGACTAAGACTGTGTTATTCACTTTACACGTGTCGCAACTCAATACGTAGAATTGGTTCGGCAGCTCAATATATCTGTTTCCCGTATGGGGATTCCGAGCCAAAGGCGGCAACGTCGGCAAAACATTTCGATGCCAAAACATTTCGAAGTTTGGCAGAAGATTCGATGTTTTTTCTTCTCGCATCGTAATGATAACCTAAGGAATTAGAGGCAGTAACAGTCGGGATACCGGCGCCATTCACGCTTTGTTCATGCTTGTCTTTGATATCGCTACTCTTTGAAAACTTTTCGCCATTTTTCCGTAATCGTTTTCTGATGACTGAAGTAGATTTCTTTTCATATTCTTGGACCACCGGGTTACAAGTAGTTCTTTGCCTTCGTTTTGCACAGTTTCTAGTTCTTTTCATGTTTGCTCCGCCTGTTGTAGGGCTCAAACTTTGGGTTTTTTGGATTATTTGGGCTAATTGTGCTATAGTTGCTGCTTTTATGATTGGCGTTTGATAATTGGTTGATCTAAATTATTTCGGGTTAGTGGCTCCGGATTTCTTTAAATATAACCACCAACTATTTCTGTAATCAGGAGCAATTTTGCGGTAAGTACAAAATTCTCATATGCTTATAACCGTTGCAATAACTTCTATAGGTCAAAAAATTTCATATGGTTAACAAGTTGCATTAAAATATTTAGGAGTGACAGTTCGTTAATAAAAGTTACCATGAGGAAAGGATAGTTGAAGAGATCCCTGGCTCTTTTGGCTTCTAAAAAAGCGATGTAGAAATAAGAACAGACGTTCTCGAGTTGTTTGATGGCGAATTCTTTTTATGATCTGCAGCACTCAGCAACAACTTGTCACCACTAATGTTCAAGTTGTCCAAATTGTGGCATTTCTGGTTGGTGATTCTATAGGGTGTTTTTAATATGACTGGTCATTGTTCAATTGCAGCTAATAGTGTTGGAGCTGGATATTTCGATGGAATGTATTTGATCTCAGTAAAAGCTTTTATATTCGAAAAAACTTAGAAAATCATTTACTCGTCGATTTAATCTGTTCTTTTAATATTAAATGTGTTCGAATTAAAAAGAATACATTTATAAATACTCTTCGTTTTTTCTATTCAGTTTTGCTCCTTCAAAACTGGGTAGCAGCATGTGACATAATTTTGCTTTGGACAACAGCAGTTATGGGCTCCTGAAGTTTGCTAAAGATCCAATATAATAGCCAGACTTCCGATTTTAGTTATTGGATCTTTCAACTGACTTGCCTCAAAGAAACAAATGGATAAGAACTTATTTAAATAAAATAAAACACACTGAGATAAGATCACTTTGATAACACTCCAGTGAATAAAAACTTCTCTTAAAAGTATCATCATATCGATGATGTTTTTGTGATGCTGAGCTTTGCATGTTCTTGCGCATCTTTTTTTAAAAATCTTATGAACATACAATAAAATCTTTCTGTATTACCATCAGTACAATTTTATGCATATCTTATGAATCGGCCTTCGTCAATCTGTCAATCCTTCTTGCGTCAATTTTTCCAGACTGGTCTGCTGAATAATTGAGTTTATTTATTCAAACTGAAAAAATGTTCCTCTAAAAAGGATTGATTTAGTCCCAGCGTTTTTCTTTGAGATAATAGGCGTTTTGGCTATCACCCTAACCCTGCTTCACTTGCGTAAAAACATCCAATCCGATTTTGAAAAATTAATTGCTCCTCTCTCGACGTACAAGTCTAACCCGACAACTTTTCATCAAAAAATGATCTCCTATGAAATATCATTGTTGGTATGAACCGAAAATTCAAAAAAGTCACAATCTGAAAAAACTTCAAAATGTCTGTCGGAGACATTCAGAGCCCATAAGCTACAACTGAAAAAGTATTTTCAAAACTTATGATCATCAATCCTTTATGTTTACTGATTATTTTTTGAAACAAATTACCAATTCATGAACCCATAATCCTGCTTCACGAAAAATAATCTATCCGGGAGAAATGGAAAAACTAAAACAGACTGACAAAAAATTGTTCTACAACATATCAACGCAACCAGATGCTGTAGTCTCCGGTGATTTATCATTGATAGTTATAAGTCAGAAAATAAGAAAATAATTGAAGGTTTCAAAAAACTTCTGTCACGAATGAGGAAAATATAATTGACGAGAAGGCCAAAAGGGAAAATCAATATTTGTTTTAAAAATGATTGAAGACCCACAAAAGGCCGGACAAAAGAAGTTTTCGATCAGCGAAAAAAATTTTGTAGAACACTAATCATTTGTTCAAAAATGTCAATTCCTGAACAAAACAAAGGTACCTCGAAACGGACCAATTTTAAGCACATATGCATTTCGAAAAAGCACTTCCATCTGTCCCTATCTTGGGTTAAGCCAAGTGATTAAAACATAATTCACCGAACTAAAGTTTATTACGCTGTAACCGCAACAGCACTAGATTATCCCGGAAAATGATAAACGAGAAAACAATTGATAGAGTTCGTTTTAAACTATTCAGTTTCTGGAAAAATGGAAAAAAAAATTGCAATTTTCTCATCGTGCCATTTTCATGAATGAAAGTCGTATTATAAAACACTTTTTGCTCCAAAAAACTGTTCTCTTTCAATCAATAACTTGCTGAATACAACAGCAGATTTTTTGGAGCCTGGTCAGTTTGCTACTTGCAGGAATATTGCCGGTTCTATGGGGTAATTAACCGCAGCTTGGTTACAAACGCCCAGGTTGACCAAAAATGATAATCATAAACAAAAATTTTGATTCAAACGACATTAAAAAAATCAAAATTTTTTTACATTGTCGAGAAAAACCAGTTGGAACCTTTTGATTTTTGGTCTAATTTTGAGCTAATTAGTAAGATAATTAGTAAGAGCAATAGCTTATTTAAGCGTATTTTAAGCCCAGGAAACTTAACATCACCCCGGTAAAGAAAAATTTGGGAGTTTTTAGCGCAATTTTGGGAATTAAAAACTAGAAAATTCAAAAAACTTCCGCAAAAAATTTTGAAAAAAAAAATTGATTTTTGGATCAATTTTTTTGTTCGGTTTCCTAGTCATTTTCTTCAAAAACTGTTTACGAATTGAATTCAACTTTACTTCAAATATGCTTACAATCTATTTTTTTTGCTCAGACTTTTTGTTCACAACAGGCAGAAAAAACGACACAAATTTGAGAAAATATTTTTGTTTTTTTTAAAGACTGTCGCCGGAACATTCTAGGTTTTGAGAAAATTTTCTAGGAACGACACCAATTTGAGAAAATATATATTTTTTAAAGACTGTCGCCGGAACATTCTAGGAACTAGGTTGAACCGTTGCTGAAGTTGGCTGCCTAATTAGCAGATTGTTGACTCCGTGTCCAAACTTTGCTTTGAGTAGTCTCGTTGTATAACACTTCCATATTCCGCCTGCTCTGAATCGGATTAATGGGAACTCCACGTCTTGTCTTTTCCCAGATTTCCATCACTACGTCAATTGACTCATAGACCATCGGAGGTATAACTTGGTCCAGAACTTGACAATTAGTTGTCAAAGATAGCTGCACGTTGACTTCAATTAGGTACACTTTCATTTTTTCGTCGATCATAAAATCGAAACCCAGTAACTCAAACGTGCCGATTCGAGTTTTCAATCTGGATTTTACAGCGTTGAAACAGCGAAGCATGATTCGCTTAGCCTGCTTTTCGATTACTTTGTACCACCAATCTTCTTCAATTCCTTTCGTTTCAAGGAAGTGTTGGTTCAAATACACATTGGCTCTTTCGTAGCTCCAAATTGTGTCATCTTTTTTCTTTTCGTAACTTGGATGACTTTTCTGGATATATTGATTGTTCAAGTGGCCAATTAAGCTGTTGTCGGCAGTTTTCCAGTTTTCTTGACTGCTTTTTTTAGAAAACGTGTTTAAAGTGTTAATCAGTGAACAAATTTCGATACAGTTCTGACATCCAAAAATCCATTTAATCAATTCCTATAAAACTCCATATCATTTTTAGGAAAAAAGTTGAAGAAAACTGGAAAAGCGACCTATTATCGTCTAGTTTATAGTCGTCAATGCAGGTTCGCAGATAACCAGGGTGGTAGAACACTACGAAAGGCGCAGTCGATGCTATCAACATGTAAGCTCGGATATCAATTTTTTTGTTGTCAAGTAGCAAGGGATGATCGATGTATCGCTGAATTATTCTTTCATACTTATTACTCGTTTCTTTCTTGGGTGGGGATTTTTTGCTGCTGCAATCCTTCAAATTCGCATCGAGGTCGTCTAAACTTCGAACCAGAAATATCCCGATGCCTTGGTTCAACCCACTGGGTTTGCAAATCCACGTTTTGCCCGCCTTATACGCTTTCCGGAAAGCAGCATTCTCCGTCTTGTTATTTAGTATGAAAGTTTCGTTGGAAAAATCAGCCAGTTTCAAATCGTTGTTCTCGGAAGAATTTGGCCTTTGCAGAGCTTTTTGTTGCATGGTTTGCTCGTAGACTCTCAAATTCTCAACGAAGCCGATTTTTTTTTACTTGTTAAACATGAGATGTTACTAATGTGATTGACGACTTGTTCATAATCTTGAAACTGGTTGTAGTCAATTTGATCCACACACTGAGTCCATTTGAACTTAAAATCCTGTCCTTTTTCTTCCATTTTTTTCCATCTCAAATGTTTCTCGAAATGATTCTCCACTAAGACTGTGTTATTCACCTTACAAGTGTCGCAACTCAATACGTAGAATTGGTTCGGCAGCTCAATGTATCTGTTTCCCGTTTGGGGATTCCGAGCCAAAGGCGGCAACGTCGGCAAAACATTTCGATGCCAAGCGCCAAAATCGATGTCCAGCGAGAGTTTGGCAGAAGATTGGATGTTTTTTCTTCTCGCATTGTAATGATAACCTAAGGAATTAGAGGCAGTAACAGTCGGAATACCGGCGCCGTTCACGCTTTGTTCCTGCTTGTCTTCGGTAAGGCTACTCTTTGAAAACGTTTCGCCATTTTTCCGTAATCGTCTTCTGATGACTGAAGTAGATTTCTTTTCATGTTCTTGGACCACCGGCTTGAAAGTCGAACTAATTCTTCTTTTCCTTCGTTTTGCACAATTTCTAGTTCCTTTCATAATTGCTCCGTCTGTTGTAGGGGTCAAAATTTGGGTTTTTTGGATTCTTTGGGCTACTTGTGATATAGTTGCTGCTTTTATGATTCGCGGTTGACAATTGGTTAATCTAAATGATTTCGAGTTAGTGGCCCTGGATCTCTTTATATATCACCACAAACTATTTTTGCAATCAGGAGCAGTTTTGCGGTGAGTACAAAACTCTCATATGCTTATAACCATTGCAATAATTTCTATAGGTAAAAAAATTTCATATGGTTAACAAGTTGCATTAAAATATTTAGGAATGACAATTCGTTAATAAAAGTTACCATGTGGAGAAATAGTTAAAGAGATCCCTGGCTCTTTTGGCTTCTAAAAAGCGATGTAGAAATAAGAATAGACGTTCTCGAGTTGTTTGATGGCGAATTATTTTTATAATCTGCAGCACTCTGCAACAACTTGTCACCACTTATGTTCAAGTTGTCCAAATTGTGGCATTTTTGGTTGGCGATTCTCTTCAGTGTTTTTAATGTGACTGGTTTTCATTGGCACTATGGTTTTCGCTGGTTGTCTTGTCATTGTTCAATTGCAGCTAATAACGTGTTCGAGCTGGATATTTGAATGGAATGTATAGAGAGTTGCAAAAAGTTCGGACAGACAGAAATAATTAAAAAGAGCAATCTGCCAATTTTGAGCCATTTTTGCCTGCCAATTTCTTTTTTTAAGGGACATTGAGACATACTTTCTGCCTGAAAAATTAGCTTTTGCATGCAAAAATTGTCTGAAAAGGTCATTTGCTCTTTTTAGTTATTTTTGTCTGTCCAAACTTTTTGCTACTAACTATATTTGATCTCAGTAAAAACTTTTAATTCAAAAAAACTTCGACAATCATTTACTCGTCAATTTAGTCTGTATTTTTAAAATTAAATGTTTTCGAATTAAAAAGAATACTTTTATAAACAATCGAGAGTGATTTATTTTTCGTTTTTTTTTCTATTCAGTTTTGCTCGTTTAAAAACTTATGATCATCAATCCTTTATTTTTCATTGATAATGTTTTGAAACAAATTATTAATTCATGAACCCATAATCCTGCTTCACTAAAAATAATCTATCCGGGAGAAATGGAAAAACTAAAACAGATTGAAAAAAATTGTTCTACAACATATCAACGCAACCAGATGCTGTTCTCATTTAAACGTAGTCTCCGGTGATTTATCATAGATAGTTATAAGTCAGAAAATAAGAAAATAATTGAAGGTTTCAAAAAACTTCTGTCACGAATGAGGAAAATATAATTGACGAGAAGGCCAAAAGGGAAAATCAATATTTGTTTTAAAAATGATTGAAGACCCACAAAAGGCCGGACAAAAGAAGTTTTCAAACTTACGATCAGCGAAAAAAATTTTGTAGAACACTAATCATTTGTTCAAAAATGTCAATTCCTGAACAAAACAAAGGTACCTCGAAACGGACCAATTTTAAGCACATATGCATTTCGAAAAAGCACTTCCATCTGTCCCTATCTTGGGTTAAGCCAAGTGATTAAAACATAATTCACCGAACTAAAATTTATTACGCTCTAACCGCAACAGCACTAGATTATCCCGGAAAATGATAAACGAGAAAAACAATAGCTGGTCATCGAAGACGAGCTGCCCAAGATAATACTTTTTTTTATCAAGAGACGCAAAATTTGTACCCAAGATAAGGAAAACTTTACAAAACATTTGATCATAAAACAAAAATATATATCAAAAAACAATTAATTGACTGCTCGGCAGGTGATCGTAAATTATTGTTTTTTGATCACAATTCACCACTTATTCAAAAATGTTTGTTTCCATTTCTTTTGCATTTGGACAGTTGAGAGGGTTGAGGGTTTTTTTTGCAGGGGCTTTGTACAGGCTAGTTGAGGTTTTTTTTGCAGGGGCTTTTTACAGGCTAGGTGAGTGTTTTTTTTTGCAGGGGCTTTTTACAGGCTAGTTGAACAAAAGTTGCAGAAAAAAATTATAATTTTTCCAGAAACAAAAGAAAATTGACTTGATGCTGACTGTCTTCTCTTTACTCTCCAGGATATCCTGCTCGATGAGCAGTATTGCTCTTTAGGATCTCCCTCCAGACATAATATATTGCTTTTGGCGTTGTATATGTAGCTGGTAAATAATTTCAAATTTAAATTTAGGAAGTAGCATAAAAAATCAATTTCAGGTTACTTGGGGTTAGTCAGCTCCAACTGCCAAAACTGTAAAATTATACCATGCAGCACCTCCTATAAATTAAGTTAAAAAAGTGAAAAGCATATTGTTAAAATAATTTATTTCTAATTTCACAAAAAAAATTTAGGAGTCATGAATCATGAATCAGGACACACAATTCCTCAAAAGGAGACGTCCTTTACGCCCATTTTCTTCAAATGCATACAAAGATTGATTACCGAGCCAATTACGGTTTTTTTAAACAAATGAATACGAATAACAGTGCTTCATAACAAATTTTGGAGGCACATTTTTCAAATCCAAATATGAGTTGAGCATGAGAACGCTAATTTATTTCCTTTATTGATAGAGTTCGTTTTAAACTACTTCAGTTTCTGGAAAAATGGAAAAAAAATTGCAATTTTCTCATCGTGCTATTTTCATGAATGAAAGTCGTATTATAAAACACTTTTTGCTCCAAAAAACTGTTCTCTTTCAATCAATAACTTGCTGAATACAACAGCAGATTTTTTTGGAGCCTGGTCAGGTTGCTACTTGCAGGAATATTGCCGGTTCTACGGGGTAATTAACCGCAGCTTGGTTACAAACGCCCAGGTTGACCAGAAATGATAATCATAAACAAAAATTTTGATTCAAACGACATTAAAAAAAATCAAAATTTTTTTACATTGACGAGAAAAAACCGGTTGAAACTTTTTGATTTTTGGTCTAATTTTGAGCTAATTAGTAAGACAATTAGTAAGAGCAATAGCTTATTTAAGCGTAGTTTTAGGCCAGGAAACTTAAAATCATCCCGGTAAAGAAAAATTTGGGAGTTTTTAGCGCAATTTTGGGAATTAAAAACTAGAAAATTCAAAAAACTTCCGCAAAAAATTCTGAAAAAAAAAATTGATTTTTTGGATCAATTTTTTTGTTCGGTTTCCTAGTCATTTTCTTCAAAAACTGTTTACGAATTGAATTCAACTTTACTTCAAATATGCTTACAATCGATAAAAAATTCGCTATGACACTGAAATTAATTCATAATTATCATTTTCAAAATCCAATTTTATTTACATCTTGTTTGTAATTTTTGTCATGGAAAATCATTTAACTTCAAATATAAACCTTCTCCTTTTTTAATTTCGGAATTCTTTAACCCTCACTTGACTGTCTGCGAACCTGACGACCATTTCGCTGTTCTAATTTTTACATTTTCTTACATATTACTTTAATTGAAATACAACTCTAGAAATATATATGAAACAAGAAGATACAACGGAGTCAAACACAAAACAATTAAAGAAGGATACAAAAGAAAAAAACACAGAGGAAACATGATTAATTTCACTATGATAACCAAGTGAATAAGATCTAATTAGAAAGGGAGTTCACATTGGCGCCCAAATTTCTGGAAAAGACGTTCACTCTACTGATTTATTCAAAGACATGAAGCTTTTGGTTTCTGACATTTACTCATTTACTTCGCCAATCCCTAGCCATGAACATAAAAATTTCATAAATTATTGAGATTTCCATAACAAAAAAAAATGTTTTAAACTGTGATTCAAAAAATCAAATTCGATAGAACTTTAAAACATTCCATACTCTTCAAAGACTCTCTAATGGTTCATTTTGCTTTTCCCATAGATCTCTGAGAAAAAAATTTCTAGTTTTTTCTTAAGTTGGCTTTATTTGATATAACCAAAAAAAAAAGTACGTCGAGTAAGGAGCCATTCCAGTTGCGTGAGAACCCCCGGTGACGTGTTTGGTGCGTAGGGATTTGTTCTAATTTGCGAGAACCCTTTTTTATTCGTTCAAATCCTATTTTGATCCGGTTAGTTTTCAGTAGTTTTCGTTTGCACCCCGTGGCTGAGCGGGAAAACTTTCAGAAGCGAATTGTTCAAACTCACTAGAACCCGTCAGTTTTCTTTGAGCCATCATTGTCAGCTGGTTGGATTGCGTAAAGAGCCTGGAGAAACAACACAAGCCATTGACGATATTGTTTGGGAACATTGTGATGAAAGCAAAAACGGAAACAGAATTAATTGCAGATTGCCATGGAGGAGCCGAAGTGAATCTAGTGGCTTCACTAGGATTCTACAGCATGTTTGGTTCTTAAGAGTCACTATTGAAACTAGAACAAAAGCATGAGATGGTCACGACCAACAGTGTAGAAGTGTTTC